ATGGATAATCCACATATTCTATTATGTTGTGTGCTGCCAAGTCAGAGCTGACTTATAGCCACTATAATAAGGCTTTCAAGGTAAGTGAGTGGTTTTGCTATAGGTCGGCACCCCCAGTGAGCTTCCATGAATGAGTGGAGATTCGAACCGAGGCCTCCTGAGTCTTACTCATTTGGTGAAGACATAGGAGAGGGCCTTCTCTGTTGCTGCTCCCAGACTGTCGAGCTCCCTCCCATGGGAAGCCGGGCTGGTCCTATCTTTGCTGTCCTTCCACAAGCAGGTGAATACCTTTCTCTTCAGGCAAGTTTTCCTTTAAATTGGGATAAATTGCTTTTAATCTATTTTAATAATATTTTAAACATTTTAAATGCAATGTTTATTTAATTCTTTTTAAACATGTGAATAAGTAAATTGCTTTTAATCTACTTTACTAACATTTTAAATGCAATGTTTATTTAATTCTTTTTAAACATGTGAATAATTTATTGTTTTTAGATATCTTTTTTAAACTATGTAAGCCACTTTGGGTCCTTTTATAGAGAAAGGTAGGGTATGCATGCATGCATGTGTGTGTGTGTGTGTGTGTGTGAGAGAGAGAGTGAGTGAGTGAGTGAATGAATGAATGAATGAATGAATGAATGAATGAGCGAGCAAGCAAGCAAGCAAGCAAGCCCTCTATCTACTACATCACACTAGGCAGATCGCTCAAATAGGGGAACAGGTAAGAGAAAAGTAATCTGCATTTTCAAACATTCAGCACCCAGAATCAAAAGGAGATCCCCCAAAAGTTGCATTTAAGCATAATGCATAATAATTAACAATAAAATGAAAAACCACAGCATAGATGTATAGTTGAGACCAGGTGTCAAGCATGCAGTGCATTTCCTATCGTCAGTTGCTGAGCAGAGAGTTATGTGGGTCTGTTCAACCTGGGACGAACTGGGAGCTTTTCTCCTGGATCTTTTGTTTAGTGTCCCAGCTCTAGTGAGATGTTCAGAACATAAAATTGCAAAATTAGATTTTCAAATTTGTGCAAAATAAATAAATAAATACATAAATAAATAAATAAATAAATAACATTTAATATCAGAACTTGATTGCCAAAACAAGTGGGTTCTTGATCAAATCAAGCCTGAACTATTTCTAGAGGCAAAAATGTTGAAACTGAGGCTGTCCTACTTTGGGCATAGCATAAGAAGGCAAGATTTTCTGGAAAATACCATAATGCTGGGAAAGATGGAAGGCAGCAAGAAAAGAGGAAGACCAAATATGAAGTGGATTGACTCCCTAATGGAAGTCACAGGCTTCCGTTTGTAAGAGCTGAGCAGGGCTGTTGGGGACAGGACATTTGGAGGTCACTCATTCATGGGGCTACCATAAATTGGAGCCTTGGCATCAGGTAGCAAGAACAACAGACATTTTGTAAACACATTCCTAGGATGCTTCCAAATGGACAGGTCCTAGTACTGCCAATTTCAAGACGTTATGAAGTTCATAACTTCGTACCATATTGAGTCAAACAATTTGCAACATACCTATTAAATAACCAGTATCTCTTTATTTGGGGAATATGTATAAATGTATAAAATTTGCCAGGTAATCTCAGTCTTATGTTTGAGGAAATGGACTAGATCTATGAAACCTCACATTAAAATATTGTAGTTAGTTGCCACCATTTTTTTTTTGTCTTTTTAATTTTTCTTTTGGTTTTGCCTGATATGTTATTTCCTCTGTCTTTCCTAGAAGGCTTTTTAAAATTGTAAGGAAAAGTAAGGAGAGAGAGAGAGAGAGCGCGAGCAGCGGGGGGGGGGGGGGGGTGGGGCCAAGT